TATGTTTAAAAAGAGAGACATTACGTAAATGGTGTGTACTTTAACGAGAGGAGGCAAAGCTGCATGCAACAGCTCGAAATTCTGTATTGACTTTTTTTTTCCCAGTATTAGAGGTGCAATACTTGCTAGAAAAATTCACGGTGCTCTCCCTCCTCTGCTCGGCTCCTTCCAAACAGCTTGCTGGCTCACCCAAAAAAAGAGCAAGAAACAGCCTAAATCCTTTCTCGAGGTGGCATTTTCCTACCTCCCCACCACGCTCCAAAGCAGTTTTAGCTGTGAATGCTTCAGCCAAAGCTTTTGGTGAAAGCTGTGGCCCTGTTTGCATTGGCACCTGCCCAGAAGTGAGTGTGTCCACAAAGCTGCACCCCAGGCCTTGGAGCCCCCGCTGTACTCTGTAAAGAGTTGTTAAATTCAGTAGTGACCTGAATGTATGGCTTTATTTTGAGGGTTTTAGGGGCGATGTCAGCTGAACTGTGTTGTAGGTCTCGCGTGTGGTTTGTCTCCTTTTACACTGTTAAATGTCAGGGACCCGCGGGCCCGCGCTGCCGCAGGCTGAGGGTGCACCTTGCTGGACACACCGAGGGGAGGGAGTTGACCACTGAAACACCCCCAAATTGCTCTTCAACAACAACAACAACAAAAAAAACCCCACTTTGATTACAAACAATTTCTCAGCCAAGTATTGCACTGATGATACCCAGTAATAACGCCAGGGCACCGACAGCAAAGCGGTGCCTCAAGCCACACCAAGGTTGCTTTATATGTAAAGAAAATTTGAGCGAGCTGCCCTGAAGAAAGGCCTAGTGCCGAGATGAGAGAGAGACAGAGAGATGTTTGGAGATGTTTAGCCAGTGCCCTTCTCCCCTGTGAGCCGCAGAGGCTCAGAGCGGTGCTGGCTTTGTAAAGGGAAAGGCCTTCATTTCTTCGTTTATCCCCCCAGCAGCGCTGGAGAGCAAGGAGACTACAATAAGCCAAAAGGTAAAATTTTGAGCATTACAATGGATAGTGTTAAAAAAAAAAAAAAAAAAATTGCAGTCAGTTTTTTTTTTTAGCACGAAGTGTAATTTTTTATTCGTTTAAGTGGTTTAAAAATGACAATATGCAACCAGACTGTAATGGGTACTGCCGGCGATGCCCAGGGGTATGCGGACACAGTGGAAGAGTTGAGCAACCACTCCTGTAATTTTGGGGAAAAGAAATGGTTTGGATGTAATAAATCCTTTTCTTTTTTTTTTTTTTTTTTATAATATATATAGATATACTAAGTAACTTTTATTAATGAACTTAAAAACTGATTGGCTCGGCAAAACCTTTTAAAAAATCAGCGTTAATAGTGGTTAACAGTTTGAAACCTGCTAAAAAAAAATCAGTGTAATAGTGGTTAACGGTTTGAAAGCTGCTAAAAAATCAGTGTAATAGTGGTTATTGGTTGGAAAGAAATGCTTAAAACCAGTGTAATAGTGGTTTTTGGTTGGCAGAAGTGCTAAAAGAGCCACCTGATGGCCCAGTAAGGTGCAGTGCTGCTGCTTGTGCGGCGCAGGTCGTAGCTAGTGTTGTGTGTGTCGGTTCTCCAGCCCGCAGGGCCCGCACTAACACCCTCCCCTATGCTTCTCTCCCGCCTGGCAGGACACATGGAGGAAGGACCCGACCTGGATTTAGGTAATTCCCACCAAACTCCCTCCCGAGGTTGTGGATCAGACATTTCTGTCCTCGTTCCGAGGGCTGCGGCCACCGCGGCGTCACCCCACCGCCACTTCCAGCCTTTCTGGCTGTTCCCATCAACTCTTCATTCCCAAACAGCTGGAAAACCACCACACGTGGTTGGGAGATGCTCCCCCTTCTCTGCAGGAATTAGGGGGTTGGGGGATGCTCTGGAGCTCTTCCAGGGAGCCCGCAGCACCCCCAGAGCTTCATCCGTGGCTTGTACCTTCCTGTCACACAGGCGTGTCTGGAAGTTCTGCGTCAGCTTTCCAGCATCGGAAAAGGGGGGTGGATGTCCTTGTGTGGGAGCCCAGGGGGCACGAAGGTCTTCCTCATCTCTGCTGTGGGATGTGGCCTGAAATAACCTGGGGGCTCTTCCCACGTGGGTGGGTGTGGGCTCTGTGTGGCCGTGGCACTCCGGGGTGAAGGGGAGGACAGTCCCCTCCCTTGGGCCTGGGGTTTCCTGTCACTCCAGAGAGCCAAGCTGCAGCCGGCAGGGATGAGGGGATGGAAAGAACTCGGCCCTGGGATATCCCTGCCCTTCCTCTGCCTGCACTGACCCCGGGAATTGTCTCCTAGGCCCCCCTATGGACTCGGAGGAGGACTCGGACAGCACTGCAGTCTATGTGCAGGGACTCAATGATAATGTGACCCTGGAGGATCTGGCAGATTTCTTCAAACAGTGCGGTGTTGTCAAGGTGAGGGGACACCAGTGACCCCCCACTGGCAGAGGGAAAAGGATCACCCACCTCCTCCTCTTTCTCCTCCTTTCTGGCCCCTCATGTCCAGGCTCTGGGAGAGGCCTGGCAGTGCTGTTTTAGGGCCTGTCCCTTCATTTTTGGGGTGTCCGGGCAGTTGCTGTCATCCATGGTAGGCCTGGGGCCCCTTTCTTCTGTCCTGGAGTCCCTGGAATGAGCTCCTGCTGGAAAGCAGAACCGAGTAAATCCCTGATGGGCTCTGGGGACACAGAACTGGGGTGACATTCCACTGTCCCTTAGATGAACAAGAGGACGGGGCAGCCCATGATAAACCTCTACATCGACAAGGAAACGGGCAAGCCCAAGGGCGATGCCACCGTGTCCTACGATGACCCGTCCACTGCCAAGACAGCCGTGGAATGGTTTGATGGTGAGTGCTGGGGGATGTTTTTTGGGGTGGAATTCCAAAAATTCCAAGCGTGGGAAGCATCTTGGGTGCAGGTGTGTGAAGCAGGGCCGTGACTCACCGATGCCCCTGCCATTGTGTCCCTCCCAGGGAAGGATTTCCAGGGCAGCAAGCTGAAGGTGACCCTGGCGCGGAAGAAGGGCCCGATGAACAGCCTGAGGGGCGGGATGCTGCCCCGGGAGCAGCGGGGAATGCCCCCACCCCTCCGTGGAGGTACCGTGCAGCCCCCCCAGAGCTGCTTTGCCGACGCTGCCGTGGCTCCCAGCACTAACGGGGCTCCTTCCCGCAGGACCGGGGGGACCCGGCGGCCCAGGGGGCCCCAGCGGGCCCAGCGGCCCCATGGGCCGGATGGGGGGACGAGGTGGAGGAGACAGGGGTGGCTTCTCCTCGAGAGGACCGCGGGGATCCCGGGGAAACCCGTCCGGAGGGAGCGTCCAGCACCGCGCCGGAGACTGGCAGTGCCCCAACCCGTGAGTACCCACCCCAAGGGCTGTGCCAAGGGGGCATCACTCATCCCAGCAGCTGGCCAGGGCAGCCAGGCCTTTCCCAAAATCTCTCGCTGGGCCTTCCCAGGAATCAGCTTCCACCTGGCACAGAGGGAGGGGCGTCACTCCTGGGGGCTGGGGGGGAACCACAGCTCCTGCGGGCAGCCAGACCCCCGCCCCACTGCAGCTGTGCCCCCTGTCCTGCCCCTGTGTCCCCTGTCACGCGCTCTCCTGCTCGTGCTTCCCAATGTCACCCCAGCTGGAATGCTGTCCCACTCTGGCCTAACTGGAATTTGTACCCAGGGGCTGTGGAAACCAGAACTTTGCCTGGAGAACAGAGTGCAACCAGTGCAAGGCGCCCAAACCGGAGGGGTTCCTCCCGCCCCCCTTCCCTCCTCCAGGTACGTATGGGGGGTTCACAGCCCCACTTCCCAGCGGGACACCCCAGGCCTGGCCTCGGGCTCCTTGGGGAATGGCTGGGCCAGCTCCAGGAGCTGCCAGGCCTTCATCCCTCCGTGAGCCATGACACGGAGACCGGGATTTCTCCTGTGCTTCCTGGGTTTGGGGGGCTGTCAGCCGCACCCCAACTCCCCAGGGCAATGCTTCAGCCTTAAGGAACCCCGAATCCCTTCGGGTCCCCAGCAGCTCCGGCCTTTCTCCTGCTGGGTGTTCTGGGATGGTGGGTGGGACCCGGCAGCGGCGCTGCTGCCCTGGGCTCACTCCCGGCTCTCCGCTGCCCCGCAGGCGGTGACCGCGGCCGAGGCGGCCCCGGCGGGATGCGAGGCGGGCGCGGCGGGGGCCTGATGGACCGAGGGGGGCCCGGCGGGATGTTCCGAGGCGGCCGCGGCGGAGACCGAGGGGGATTCCGAGGCGGCCGGGGCATGGACCGGGGCGGCTACGGAGGAGGCGGCCGGAGAGGAGGAGGAGGAGGCGGCCCCGGGGGACCCCCCGGACCCCTGATGGAGCAGATGGGAGGAGGAGGCAGAGGACGACGCGGAGGGCCGGGAAAGATGGACAAGTATGGATGGAGGGCAGGGCTGGGAGTGATGGGAGGGGGAGACCCTGCTGGGGACAAGGGTGGGGGGCGGCTGGGGTGGCACAGATGGGTGGAGGGGCGAGGGGATGAAGGGTGGGGGGTGGGATGGGGGAGTGTGGATGGGTGGCAGGGTGTCTGGGGAGGGGGTTAACCCAGGAAGGGCTCCTGGCCCCCACAACTGACCCCTGTCCCCCCGGCCCACAGGGGCGAACACCGCCAGGATCGCCGAGACCGGCCCTACTAACGCCGCCCCCCCAGAGCCGCATTTACTACCAGATTTATTTTTTAAACCAGAAAAAAAATGTTTTAAATTTATAATTCCATATTTATAATGTTGGCCACAACATTATGAGTCCTCCTTGTCTGTACTTTAGTATTTTTCACCGTTTGTGGAGAAACATTAAAACCAAGTTCAACGGTAGCGTGATGACTTCTTTCTTCCCCCCCTCCCCCAGAATAAAACCGGTTGTTTAACGCGCCCCCGCCCCGCCTCCCCGCCTGTAACGCTGTGAACGGTTGTGACGGTTGTTTTTTTAAATAAAATTCCCGCTGTTTGTAACCGCACCATTGCTGGCCTTTCTTGAGAGCACCCCCGGGAGCCCGGGGGGCGCGACCCCCGGGCCCGGGCCGGGGTAGGATGGGATGGAGGGGAGGGACGGAGCTGCCCGGTGCATCCCGCCGTGCCTCAGTTTCCCCACAGGGTATGAGTTCCGGGGAAGGGAGGGTGGGGGCAGGAGGAGGCAGATCAATGGGAGCGGGGAGCCCCACCCGGGCGGGGGTGGGGGGAGTCACCGAGTGTGGCTGTGTGTCACCCCGGCCGCGTCTGTGCCGCGCTCCGGGCCATGCCCTGTCCCCCCCGTGTCCGTGTCCGTGTCCGTGCCCGTGCCCGTGTCCGTGTCCGTGTCCCCCCCGCCCGTCCCCGCCCGCCGCCGCCGCCCCCGTCCCGGCCCTTTCTGGGCCGCCTCCAACTTCCCGGCCGGGGCGCGGCGGCGGCGGCGGCTCCGCGGGGCGGCGGCGGCCGAGCCTCGCTGGGCGCCCCCCGGGCCCCCCGGGCCGCTGCCCGCGGCCGATGGCGGCGGGGGCCGCGGCGGGGCCCCCCCGGCGCTGGGAGCCGCGGCCCGGCGCGGAGCGGGGAGCGGGCCCGGCCCGGCCGTAGCGCGGCGCGGAGCGGCGGCGGTGAGTGCGGCGGGGCGGCGGGAGGCGCCGGGCCCGGGTCCCCCCCGTGTCCCCGCAGGTGCGGATCCCCTCCGCCGGCCCCGCTGGAGCCCCCCGCAATAGGGACCCCACCGCCCAGAGGGACCCCCCACCCCGAGACACCCCCAGGGACGGACAGCCGCCCCCAGGGCACAGGGGGACCCCGATACCGACACCCCTGAGCACCGACACCCCCTCCGAGGGTAGGGACCCCCCCGGCAGGGACAGCACCCCCCGAGGGAAGGGCACCCCGCGACAGGGACACCCCCTCCCCGGGGGAAAGGGACACCCCCCGACAGCATCCCCCGCTCCCGAGGGATGGGGACCACCCCCCAGCACAGTCCCCCCATCCCCAGGGTAGCAGTGCCACCCCCCAGGTGAGGGGACCCCCTCCGAGGGTGGGGGGCACCCCTCAGCAGCAGGGACACCTTCCCAGGGTGGGGGGCTGGGCTGGGGGTGGCAGTGGAGTGACGGGGCCCCCCCAAGGGGGTGACCCCTCTGCTGAGCCATCGCTGGCTCCTGCACCCCCACCCCAGGTCAGGGATGGCCGGGGGGGTCTCCCCCAGGTGCAGCCCCCACCCCATGGCCGAGTGCTGGGGACCCCAGTCCCCCCACCCCGTGCAGCCCCTCAGGGCTGAACCCCACCAGGGTAGAGGGGGGCTCGCTGCCCCTGGCACTGCCATCCCTCGGGGTGTCACCTGCTCCCGGGGCGGGGACACCGGGGGGAGGACAACGCCATGACTGGGCAGCTTTTAGGGCGGGGTTGGGGAGGGATGTCCCCTCTCTGCCACAGCCCCACCGAGGGTGGGCGTGGGTGACAAGGGACCCTAACCTGGGGGGCGGAGGGGTCACAGGGTGAGGGGGCACGGAGTGGGGGACGTGGAGAATGGGGACACGCATGGTGGAGGCCATGGGGTGAGGGGACATGGGCTGTGGGGGGGACACGCGGGGTGCAGAGACGGGGAGTGGGGGTGCTGCAGGTCCTGGCAGGGATCAGGCAGGTCCCGGAGGGGTGGTGGTGGCAGTGGGTCAGCACTCCTGCCCATGGGTAATGTGCGAGGGAGACTGAGGCACAGAGAGGTCAGCGAGGTTGGTGGGTGGTTTGGGGGGGCTTTGGGGGGGGCTTTGGGGGGTTTCCTGCCCGTTACAGCCCCCCTTGTCCCCTGCAGGCAGCTTGCCATGGCCGACCCCAGCCACATCCAGTCGGCCGCCTCCAAGAGCATCCGTCCCTTCCGCTCCAGCGAGGAGTACCTGGAGGCCATGAAGGAGGACCTGGCCGAGTGGTTCAACACCCTCTACGACCTGGACATCCAGGTGGACACCTTCCTGGAGAGCCTGGAGACGGGCTGTCACCTCTGCCGCCACGCCAACAACGTCAACCGCACCGCCCTGGACTTCCAGGAGCGGCACCCCGAGGCGGCCGCCCGCATGCGTGTGCCCCAGAACGAGGTGGTCTTCCAGGCCAAGAACGTGGTGCCCGGCTCCTTCATCGCCCGGGATAACGTCTCCAACTTCATCCAGTGGTGCCGGCAGGACCTGGGCATCCAGGACGTGCTGATGTTCGAGACCAACGACTTGGTGCTGAAAAAGAACGAGAAGAACTTTGTCCTCTGCCTGCTGGAGGTGGCCAGGAGGGGCTCCAAGTTTGGGATGCTGGCGCCCATGCTGATCCAAATGGAGGAGGAGATCGAGGAGGAGATGAGGGACCAAATGGCCGACGGCGTGCTGGGCACGCGCCGGGAGAGCCGGGACCCCCAGGCGGGCGCCTACCCCGGCCGGGCCCGGCCCATCACCCTGGGCGACCTCAAGAACCTGGACGAGCTGGTGAGACACGCGCTCCCCTGGGAGCCCTGTGCCTGGGTGAGGGCCTCGCCGGCCACCGCCGGGCCCCGCTGGCCGCCCCGCGGGCGCTCGGTGCTCTGCGGGAGGCCCTGCCCGTCCGCCCAACGGGGAGCTCCGTGCTTCACGGGAGGTCCTCTCTGCCCACCCCACGGGGTGCCCTCTGTCTCCTGGGAGGGCCTGATGTCCACCCTGTGGTCACTCTGTGGTCGCTGGGAGCGCCCACCTGTCTCTGCCCACCCGCCGAGGGCCATGGAGGGTCCCACCCATCTCTTTGGCCCCCGGGAGTCCTCCCTGTCTCTGTGGCCTCTGGGAGGTTCTGTCTGTGTCCCCCCAGCCTGGCCACCCAGCAGGGCACTCTGAGGTCCCTGGCAGGTCCCGCGTGTCTCTGCGACCCCTGGGAGGTCGTTCTGCCCAGCCCCGTGGTCCGTGGGATGTGCTCCACCCACCCATCCCAGCTCTCCATGGCTACGGGAGCTCCTCTCCACCCACCCAGGCTCCCGCGGAGCCTCCTGACTCCCTGGGGGGGTTCTTTGGGTGGCTGTGACCACAAGCACAGCGGGGACACGGGTGTCACCTGTGCCCTGCCAGCTGCTCCCCGAGAGGGGGTGACCCACAGGGGTCCCCACCCCAGGACTCCCCCTGCCCTCCTCGGGGCTGCTGTCCCCAGGGACGGACATGGGGACCCCAATTTGGGGTGTCAGAAGGGGGTGCGGGGACCCCCCCGGGCCGGGAGCTCAGGGCGGATTAAAGCCGGGTGCGGGATCCGTCCCGCGGGTGAGGCAGCGGATTAACCCGGGACGGGGGGGACACGGCGGGGACAGGGGGGCTCTGCCCTCCCCTGACTCCCTAAGCCTTTTTTTAATTGAAACCCCAATTCCTCATTAAGTCCCTCATTAAAGAGCATCCTGACCCCTCCCCTCCGCCCAGGGCCGCTTCAGGGGCCCCCCCCGTGGCTGTTGCCCCCCAAGCCCCCCTGGCCGGGCGCTGCCAGCCCCGGCCGCATTTTTCCGGGCTGCGTAATTCCTCGCCATCGGCTTTTATGGGCAGCGCCAGCGGCGGGGAGGAGCCTGGCGGAGCAGGACCCAGCCCCCCCATCCCCAGGTGCCCCCCCAGGGTGGCAGCAGGGTCACGACCCCCCCCCCCCCGTCACTGCACCCCCCTCCCACCCCCCACTCCGTGACTCAGTTTCCCCAGCGGGGGCTGTCCGTGTCACCCGGATGGGAACCGGAGCGACCACATCCTTCCTTCCTCTCAGCGCTGTGATGGGCACGGCTGCAGGAAGACCCCCCCCCCCAAAATCACGGAATTATTAAAGAACCCCCAGATTTCGGGGCGAGGCGGCGCCGTGTCCCCCCCGCAGCCCCGGGCCGGGGCAGGATGCGGCCGCGTCCCCGCGTCCCCCCGCGGCTCCCGGTTTAATCCCTGACGTCAGGCCGGGATAGAGCCGGCAGCTGGCAGCCAGCGGCACCGCCCGGCCACCCCACAGCTCTGGGGTGCCCTGCCCGGCCCCCCAAATCCTCCCGCTCCGCTCCTCCCCGTGCCACACCTTCACGTTTAGAGGGAGGCCAAAACCCCCGGGATTTACCCCATTTCTGTGGATGGATGTAGGTCCTGCCCCGTGGTGGGGATTTGGGGGGGATCCCCCGTGGTTCAGCAGTAGTGGGGTGGGGGATGTTTTGTGCCCACAGCCGGGGGTCCCGCAGCGGGGGGACCCCAAATGAAGAGAGTTGTGCCCGTTCTCCCGGGGGTGCCCAGCCGTGGGAGGAGACCCCGGCCCCGCTGCACCCGAGCCCACCCAGCTGCTCCCCATGGGGGGCACACAGGGCCCCTCGTGGGTGCCAGTCTGAGGGGCTGCCCCCGTAATGGGGATCCTCACTGACCCTACAGGGGTGCCCCACCGGTCCTGTAGTGGAGGGTCCATGACCCACCAGCCCTATAACGGGGTTTTGTGTCCCACTGACCCTATAGCAGGGTTTCTGTGCCCACCAGTCCTATAACTGGGGTTTGTGCCCCACTGACCCTATAGCAGGGGTTCTGTGCCCACCAGCCCTATAACTGGGGTTTGTGTCCCACTGACCCTATAGCAGGGGTTCTGTGCCCACCAGCCCTATAACAGGGGGCCCCATTGGCCCTATAGCAGGGGGTTTATGCCCCACCGACTCTATAGGGGGGTTCTATGCCCACCGGCCCTATAGTGGGGGGTCTATGCCCTGCTGGCCCTGTAATGGGGGGGTCTGTGCCCCAGCAGCTCTGTAATGGGGGTCTGTGCCCCACCGGCCCTATAGGCGAGTTCTGGACCCCACCGACCCCATAGCAGGGCGTCCCCGCCCCACTGAGCGCTGCCCTCTGTGCCGGCAGGTGCGGGAGATCCTGGGCTGCTGCTCCTGCCCCTCGCAGTTCCCCATGGTCAAGGTGTCGGAGGGGAAGTACAAAGTGGGCGACTCCAACACGCTCATCTTCGTGCGGGTAAGAGCCTCCCTCACCCCCCTGTCCCCCCGTCACACGGGGACCCCCAAACCCCCCTCGCCCCGCTCCCAGGGAAGGTGGGTGCGGTCCAGAGCCGCATCTCCTGCCCGCGCCGGGGCTCCTGGGGTGGCTTTGGTGGCTTTTGGGGACCAGGGTGACGGCGCTGCCCGCAGGTGCTGCGGAGCCACGTCATGGTGCGCGTGGGCGGCGGCTGGGACACGCTGGAGCATTACCTGGACAAGCACGACCCGTGTCGCTGCGCTGCCCTCTGTGAGTGCCACCCGCAGCCAGCGCCCGCCGCGGCACGCTGCTGCTCCGGAGAGCTGCGGCCCTCCAGTCCTGCCCTCCAGGGCTTCTGTTCCCGGATTCTCCATGGGGCCCCGTTCCCTGGTTCTCCATGGGGCCCCTTTCCCTGTTCTCTGTGGGGTTCTGTTCCCTGCCTCTCCAAGGGTTCTGTTCCCAGATTTTCCCTGAGGCCCCTTGCCCTGGATTCTCCCTGGGGTTACTTTCCCTGGTTCTCTATGGGGTTTTGTACCCTGATCTTCTGTGGGGTTCCATTCCCTGGCTGTCCAAGGCTTCTGTTCCCAGATTTTTCCTGGGGCTCCTTTTCCTGGTTCTCTTTGGGGCCTCTTTCCCTGGTTCTCTGTGGGGTTTTGTTCCCTAATCTTCTGTGGGGTTCCATTCTCTGGCTATTCTTAGGTTCCTGGATTCTCGCTGGGGCCCCTTTCCCTGGTTCTCTGTAGGGTTTTTTTCTGTGATCTCCTGTGGGGTTCTGTTCCCAGATTCTCCCTGAGGCCCCTTTCCCTGGTTCTCCCTGGGGCCCCTTTCCCTGTTCTCTGTGAGGTTTTGTACCCTGATCTTCTGTGAGGTTCTGTTCCCTGGCTGTCCAAGGGTTCTCCTGGTTCTCCCTGGGGCCTCTTTCCCTGTTCTCTGTGGGGTTTTGTTCCCTGATTTTCTGTGAGGTTCTGTTCCTTGCCTCTCCAAGGGTTCTGTTCCCAGATTCTCCTGGGGCCTCTTTCCCTGGTTCTCTATGGGGTTTTGTTCCCTGATCTTCTGTGGGGTTCCATTCTCTGGCTCTCCTTGGGACTCTGTCACTGGTTTTCCATGGGGCTCCATTCCCTGGTTCTCCAAGGGTTCTGTTCCCAGATTCTCCCTGGAGCTCCATTCTTTGGTTCTCCCTGGGGCCCCTTTCCCTGGTTCTCTGTGGGGTTTTGTTCCCTGATCTCCTGTGAGGTTCCATTCCCTCGCTCTCTGTAGGGTTCCAGTCCCTGGTTGTCTATGGGATTTTGTTCCCTAATCTTCTGTGGGGTTCCATTCCCTGATTCTCCACGGGTTCCATTCCTGGGTTCTCCCTGGGGCCCCTTCCCCTGGTTCTCTGTGGCGTTCCATTCCGTGGTTCTCCACAGGGCTCTGTTCTGTGGGGCTCCATTCCCTGATTTTCTGTGGGGTTTTGTTCCCTGATTTCCCATGGGTTCCCTTCCTTGGTTTTCCATGGCTTTCATTCCCTGATTTCCCATGGGTTCCCTTCCCTGGGGCTGGGCTCCTCAGGGCACTGATCAGGCTGGAAGGGGGGAAAAGGTGTGTGTTTGGGGGGGTGTTTCCCCAAATTCCCGAGGTGTTCAGCACCTCCGGGAACAGCCCGGCTGGGAAGCCGGGGTGCAGGGAGGGGATGCTGAGCGCTGTCCCCCTGTCCCTGCAGCTCACCGCCTGCCCCAGCCCCGCGCCCCGGGCGTGTCCCCCCAAAAAGCCGCTGCCGGCACCTCCTCGTCCCGCGCCTCCAGCCCCAGCACCCCCCGGCGGCCCCGGCCCCCCCCGGCCGGGGCGGAGCGGGGCCCCCAGCCCCGGGGGGACCCCCCGAAGCCCCCCAAGCAGGAGGGCTTGCCCCCCCGGGGGGGAGCCCCGCTCCGCCCCGGCAGCCCCGCCAGGAGCCCCGCGGAGCCGCGGGGAGCAGGGACGCCCAGGTACGGCCCCCCCCGCGGCCGGGGGGACCCCAAAACTGCGCCGAGACCCCACGGCGAGGGCTCAGCCCCACGGAGGGGACGGGGAGAACGGGGGCGTCAATGGGGAGAAACCTGGGGGGCCGTGGGGGTGCAGGGAGGGACACTGGGGGCACTGGGAGGTGCTGGGGTGCAATGGGGTGACTGGGCTACATTGGGGGGTGCAATGGGGGACACTGGGGAGATCGCGGGGGGCAGTGGGGGGGTGAAAGGAGCAAATGGGGGAATCACTGGGGCAGTGGGAGGTACTAGAGGGTGAACTGGGGGTGCAGTGGGGGAAAATGGGGCACAGTGAGCGGTACTGAGGGGGCAGTGGGGGCGAATTTGGGGTGAAATGGGGGTGCAGTGGGAAAGAATGGAGGAATTGGGGTGCAGTTAGGGAAGGGGAAATGGGGGATGACAATGAGGGTTGGGTGTGGGGCTATGGGGACAGAAATGGGGCACTGGGAGGTGATGGGTGGTGGACTGGAGGGGCAGTGGGAGGGGGTAAATGGGGAAAGCATTGG